ACAGAACAGTTCACTGCAGCCAAGACGCGGCAGGGCTGGAATATGCCAAAGGGGTCTGCTTGATGGTATCAGAACCCATCACAGCCGATGTAGGCGCTACAGATTTTTGAGGGCATGGGCTGGGAGGATTAGTAATTCTACCTAATAATGGGAGGGAACTTACTAATCAGTTACTTCTTCTTTCTTATCTCCACACTGGGTGAAGTAGAATGTGTCTGCCTTTGTCATTAAGACTGGGAGCACTACTCAGTGGCAGGCCACAGACTTAGCTCCTAAGAAATGGCCACCTCTGACATGAGGAACAGACACCATGTGCAGCTGCTCCTAACATGGAGTACAAACGCTCCTCATTGATAAATTAAGTTGGAAATAATCAATGATCGACCTCTCTCTCTTTTTATTTATTTTATATTTCACCTTATATGGACATTGTAATAAAGTAGTTTCAATCTCTCTGCTGTTTTTATTCATATACATCTAATTATTCAATGGATGAAGCTGATTTATTTATTTTTTCCTTTTTAATAATTTATATAAAGCTTTTTTTTTTAAAGGTATTTTCTATTTTCTACACATAACATTATTATTTATTATCAACACAAGGTAATAAGACCAAATCCAAATAAATAAATAGTGTGTGACGTTTCAGTAACAGGGTTGTTACCATCTTCAGACAGAAGTACTGAATGAAGATGGTAACAACGCTGTTACCGAAACGTCACACACTATTTATTTATTTGGATTTGGTCTTATTACCTTGTGTTGATAATCTATAATCCAAATTGTGCCTTATCATATTTATTATCAATAAAATGGTCATATACAGTAGAACCTTCCTGTAAAGGACAACACCTAATTTCAGAGCCAAAGTGTTCTTTAGGAAGAGGTGTCTTCTTACCGGGGAGTTGTTAAATTGTAAAAATGTTCATTTTGAAAATGAAAACTGTCCTTTGTAGAGAGGTGTCATCTAGCGCGAGTGTCGTCTCATGGAGGTTCTACTGTATATAACCATAAAATTATTTTCAATATCAATCTCATATATTTTTACTAATAGAAAGTACTTCAAAAATTGTCAGTTAAAGATGGTTCTGATGTAACCACTTATGGAAGTTACAAATTAACAGAAGGCAAATACATTTTATAAAGTTCTAAACAGGTTTTAATTTATAAGACGGCACAGTGTTTATTTAAATAAAAATGAGGAAAAAAACATAGGATTCCTCACAGAAGACATGGAAACCCCTGGATGGGGTCACTCATTGTAGGTTGAGTTAGATTTGTTAAAGTAATTTTGATTTAACAAAAATGGTTACTCATGGGAAATTTTAATGTATTTTAAATATATACAATAAAACCTCCTTGTAAAGGATACCTAATTGCAGAGTCAAAGTGTCTTTTAGGGAGGAGTGTCCTCTTACCGGAGAGTTGCTAAATGGTAATTTTGCAAATGAAAACTGTCCTTTGTGGAGAGGTGTCCTCTTACTGGAGAGTTGCTAAATTGTAAAAATGGTAATTTTGCAAATGAAAACTGTCCTTTGTGGAGAGGTGTCCTCTTACTGGAGAGTTGCTAAATTGTAAAAATGGTAATTTTGCAAATGAAAACTGTCCTTTGTGGAGAGGTGTCCTCTTACTGGAGAGTTGCTAAATTGTAAAAATGGTAATTTTGCAAATGAAAACTGTCCTTTGTGGAGAGGTGTCCTCTTACTGGACAGTTGCTAAATTGTAAAAATGGTAATTTTGCAAATGAAAACTGTCCTTTGTGGAGAGGTGTCTGCTAAAGGGAGGTTCTACTGTATTTAAAAAATTCTTTCAGTAGATATTACTGTGGCATTTGACAATTCCTGGCATCCAGGTATAATTAAATCAGGAATAAAGAAACTCGTCATTGTTAACTTTGATTCCTTCTCTTGTTAAAATTTTACACAAATAAATTTACTGGCAATGCGTTACTTTTAAATATCATCAAATATTATCTCTACAGACCTTACTGCAATGATATGAGTTATTGAATGAGAAATATTAAAGATTCAAAGTCCTTTTGGAAGACCATTGCGCTATTTAAAGGAGCAACAAAAATTCAAGGAGAAATTACTGTACAGGAATGGCACGAATTTTATTGCGAATTAATGAGTATTGAGGAAAAAGAGAAGATCTGTAATATAGAAGTGAGGATCTCGCCGAGTGACCCAATACTTGATCCAGAGATAACTTCTGAAGAGATAGGCAGGGCAATCAGAGATTTGAAAAATAACAAGGCAAGTGGACCTGATGACATCCCCAATGAAATAATAAAAGTACTCCCAGACTCATACATGGGTTTATTAGAACAATTTTACAATAGAGCTCTGATAATGGGACACTATCCTACAATATGGACTAAATCGATCATACATCCAATCTTTAAAAGCGGTGACAAAGACAACCCTTCAAATTACCGTGGTATAGCACTGATAAGTAATTTTTCGAAACTTTTTACAACAATACTAAGATCAAGACTGAATGAATGGGTAGAAAGAAGAAACGTCATTCCAGAAAATCAGGCGGGTTTCCGAAGGGGCCGTTCGTGTGTGGACCTGATATTCACATTGACCTCTCTAATACAACTTTCACTGAGGAAAAAGAGAGGAAAATTATATGTATTTTTTGTTGATTTGAGAAAAGCATTTGACACAGTTCCTCACTCATTACTCTGGAAGAAATTAACCAATCTGGGCGTAAGCTATCAATTTATACATGCAATTAGAAATTACTACGAACAGGCGACTGTGGCAGTCAGATGGAGGGGTTCAATTACAGAAAATATTAAGATACATTCGGGCGTTTTACAAGGAGAGCCACTATCGCCATTACTTTTTATATTATTCATGACGGACCTGATTAAAATGTATGACAACTCAGATCTGACGAGTGTATACCTTCCGGAATTTGGTGATGTCCACCTGCTGATGTATGCAGATGATATTGCTATTATAGGGGAGTCGAGGGTAAACCTCCAAAAAAAGATTAATTTATTGAAGGAATATCTTGGTGTGAACGAAATGACACTGAACGAGTCCAAATCGAAGGTTATGGTATTTCGCAATGGTGGTAAACCCTCAAGAGAAGATAGATGGTACTGGAATGGTAAACCTCTGATGGTAACAAGAAGATATATCTACTTGGGATACCCTCTGGTCAGTACAACTAAAACCACTCAAGCCGCAAACTTTTTCAAAGGAAAAGCACTTGCGGCAATAAATGCTACAACCCCATTATTGGCGAAATCAAAAATTAATTCACTAAACTCTGCAATGAAACTGTTTGACTCAATTGTGATGGCGGTTTTGATGTATGCTGCTCCAATTTGGGCAACAGAGTATAAAGATTTATTAGACCATATACAAGATACATTTATTCGTAGGTTCTTGAATTTGCCTAGATATACACCAGGATACATAATAAGACCAGAAACAGGCCGCGTCTCATTAATAATAACAGCTCTGAAATTGACCTTGAAATATTGGCTGAGGGTGCTGGGTATGGATACAAATAGACTGCCTCGAATTTGTTTAACTAGAATGAGGCAATTATCCTGTGCTACAGGTGCGCCCATCGGTTTTATAAAACAATTAAGCAATTTACTTAATAATAACGGATCCTCGTGGCTTACTTATTGTAATGATCCTGACTCACTAAGGAAAGCTATCCCTGGAATATTAAGAACTGCGATAGAGCAAACAATACAAAACGACCTAACAAGAATAACCCAATCAAAGTTATATTCCCACTATAGAGACATATATACAACCTTTACCACCGAAGAATACTTCTTAACTGAACTCCCTTTTCCTATCATCAGATTAATTGCACAATTTAGAACCCTTTCAATTTTTTTCAGAGAACACCATTTGATTTTATTGAGGCGTGAAGACCTGAAATGCACTTTCTGTGGATCAGGAATAACAACGGAGATGCTGCATTACTTATTTGACTGTGCTGCTCTGTCTGAGGAAAGACGAAAATTAAATGATAAAACGGGGCAACTTTGTCCTTCATTCCCGGCACTGATTAATGAAATATCAGGGAATAGGTATATAGCGATGGCGATATTTGGATTCCACAAGACTATATCCCGGAAAAAGGCCTCACAGTGTTCTCCCTATCCCTTGTGAACTGGCGAATCCTGTATGGGGCGAGTGGCCCCAATAAAGGCTTTTTGTTGTTTTTTGTTTGTTGTTATTGAATGAGAGGGCTTGGCTCATCAGTAGTGAACCCTCTCATCGGTTTCGCCAAATTAATCTCTAGACCTCTCTACTATTGTATTGGATTGGTTTGGAATATAGCCTGTATTTTCTAAGGAAGGTAGCTTAGGGGTGTTTAGTGAACTATGGACATAAGCTTATAGGTCTGTAGAGGTACATACATATACATTACAAATTAAATTCATAATTAAATCCCTTGATCAACACTCCCAAGGTTGACTTTGTTGGGTGAGGGGTATTTTTCATCTATTTAAAGACATTTCAACAAGTTGAAGTACTCTAAAAGTACATTTGTAAAATCATTTGAATAGTTTCAGATAAAGAATTACAGTATAACCACCTTCATGGGTGGATACCTCTCTACAAAGTACAGTTTTTATTGCCAAAATTACCATTTTACTAATAAGAAACTCCTCAGTAAGAGGACACCTCTTCCTAGAGGTCACTTTAGGTTTGCAACTTGGTGTGTTACAGAAAGAGGTTCTACTGTACCAATTTTTTACTTTTAAAATTTGACATTTGTTTTCTGCTTCATTTCAATTTTTATGACAAAGAACACGATAACTCTTTCAGCACATGTATTTACTAAAGTGGCTATTAAAAAAATATATAAAGCTATATTGTAATTTGTTTGCTAATGTTTCTATTTTTTAATATTCCATTATATACACAAGGTAACAAGACCAAATCCAAATAAATAGTGTGTGACGTTTAGGTAACAGCGTTGTTACCATCTTCAGAGAAAAGTATTGAATAAATGGCGTGGAATAGCTCAGCTTCGAAAGCTTTAGATTGAGGATCTAAATGTCTCTGGTTCAAACTTGCATTTCGCCTTCTCATTCAGTACTTTTGTCTGAAGATGGTAACAATGCTGTTACTGAAACACCACACACTATTTATTTATTTGGTCTTATTACCTTGTGTGACACCCAATTGCTTACCTACCATCTCTCTATTCCAAGTGGACAAGCAACTGTCTTTCTCTAAAATCAATGGCTATAAATGGGGGGAGAACAAACAGTGGAGAGAATTTACAAAACATCCCAAAAGTTTATTCCATAGAGAAGTTGGTATACTGAGAGGATCAATCAAGGCCAGGTGATGGGTTTGTGTTTCTTGGGCTTAGGGGAATCCTGTACAGAGGTTGTGTGAGGTTACAGACCCAGGGTAGGTAGGTAGGGTGTACTTACCACTGATGGTTTGTCACTCTGGGCCAGAGTCTTGCTGATGGCTTCCCTGTGAAACAGATTGGAATTTTTCCTCGGATACAAGTCTTATTATGGACAACTAAAGACTGTACTTGGATTATAGGAATAAACATATCATTCCTTCCATTGGTTAATCCAATATAACACTAATTCTACAGTATTTTTTTTTTGCTTATCCCTAGTACACGTGGTACAGGCCATGATAATCATGGTGGGTATAAGTAGGCGACTGCTTTTACTGTAAATGCACCACAGGTCTACACATGTGAAAAGCAGTTCGACTTTGCACTTACAAATGTGCCAGAGCCCCGTTTGGTTACTTGCACTCTCTGGTGGGTTTGGACTTTTGCAAAAATCGGGGGCCAATGGAACATTTTTTTTTAATCAGAAAAAGTACCCAATGCGGGAATCGAACCTGGGTCGTAGTGGTTGAAAACCAACGGTTTAGACCATCCTTCCACCGACCCCTTATTTTACAGTATAAACTCATTAATCCGACAGTTTTCAGCTCTCAACTAAATGGGAAGTAACCTCTGGGTGAAGACAATATTACTAGAGAACCATTCCATAGAATTTGACCCATTTTAGAGCAGAACCAGACAAACCTAAACTAAGTACCCTACTGATAAGGCACAATTTGGATTATAGATTATAAACACAGGGTAATAAGATTCAGTACTTTTGTCTGAAGATGGTAACAACGCTGCTACCTAAACGTCACACACTAATTATTTATTTGGATTTGGTCTTATTACTTTGTAAGTACCCTACTGTTCTATCCCTTTGCTTGGTGACTCTCTTTATGTGTGCTTATTGCACTCATTCAATAACTTTTATCATCAAGGAGGAGGGAGCAGTAACAAGCTCACTAAAAAACCTGGACTCAGCTGGCCCGGCTGATAGTACCCTGTAAGGGCTCCTGATCCAGGGATACAGGATGAGCAGCGTTTGTACTCCATGTTAGGAGCGGCTGCACATGGCGTCTGTTCCTCATGTCAGAGGCGGCCATTTCTTTTGGAGCTAAGTCGGCCTGCCACTGAGTAGTACTCCCAGTCTTAATGACAAAAGCAGAAGATATATATTTTACTTCACCCAGTCATGATGGTTGTCTGAAGATAAGAAAGAAGACTTTCATCATTGCAGTAAGGTCTTTAAAGATAATATTTTATAATTTATGCAAAAAGAAAGACATTGCCAAAAATATTTATTACAAAATTTAACAATTAATGGCAATTATAATTTATAAACTACTGGTCTTGTTCTAAACTGTGAAATTTTGATGTATTTGAAAATAAAGGCAGGTTGTCACAATGAACACAAGTATATTAAAATCCAACAGGGCAGGATCGGGGGTCGGTGGAAGGCTGGTTAAACCGTTTGGTTTTCGACCTCTACGACCCGGGTTCGATTCCCGCATTGGACACTTTTTTCTGATTAAAAAAAAAAAAGCTCCAATTACCCCCGATTCTTGCAAAAGTCCAACCCCACCAGCGAGTGCAAGTAACCAAACAGGGCTCTGGCACATTTTTAAGTGCAAAGTTGAACTGCTTTTCACATGTGTAGACATGTGGTACACTTACAGTAAAAGCAGTCGCTAACTACTCACCATGATTATCATGGCCTGTACCACGTATACTAGGGATAATAATAATAATAAAAAAGGACAGAATCAAATTATTAGTCTCAACAATGATGACATCATGAAACAATGAGTATGACAGCTCTCTTTACCACAAATTCCATTATTCTGTGGGGTGTTGATTGTTCATGTACAACATCCTTTCTAAGAATTTAAGTTCAAAAAACACCTAGAGGCATTCTAGTAAAACTTATAAAAATACAATAAAAGTGGCATTATGAGAGTGTATGCTATATATATAAAAAAAAGAAAGAAGTCAGTGGCCAGAGGTATAAACCGTCGATTTCTGACAGCCATGAATTGTGATCGAATCCTGCATTGTACACTTTTTATTGTAAAGAACCTGATAAAGCACAATTTGGATTAGAGATTATAACACAAGAAAATAAGACCTAATCCAAATAATTTATTAGTGTTTGACGTTTTGACAACAACATTGTTACCATCATCGGACAAAAGAATAAGTGGAATTAATAATTAAATTCCATTTATTCTTTTGTCGATGATGGTGATAATGCTGTTGTCAAAAAGTCACACACTAATAAATTATTTGGATTAGGTCTTATTTTCTTGTTTTGTAAAGAACCTGTTCATATTATTCATTTTTATTATTTTTTGCTTATCCCTAGTACACGTGGTACAGGCCATGATAATCATGGTTGGTAGATGTAGGCGACTGTTTTTACTGTAAGTGCACCAAATGTCTACACATGTGAAAAGCAGTTCTACTTTGCACTTACAAATGTGCCAGAGCCCCATTTGGTTACTTGCACTCGCTGGTGGGGTTGGACTTTTGCAAGAATCGGGGGACATTGGAGCATTTTTTTTAAATCAGAAAAAGTGCCCAATATGGGAATCAAACTCTGGTCGCAGAGGTCGAAAACCAATGGTTTAGACCATCCTTCCACCGACCCCCCATTATTCATTGTAAATAACATAGGCTAGGTTTGTCTTTTTGAGCCGTACCTGATAAAGTTATTTTGGAACAGGAATAACAGGTGTATGCTGTCTTGTAGCCCACTTATAAACAAATTACTTTACATAGGAAACTTACTTTTGGGGCAATTTGTGTTTCTCTGCGATCCTCTTCTGTGTACTGGAGAGAAGGTTCCCTCTCCTGTTGTTACGGTAAATCCTCTGGGGCAGTGGCATCACGGCTGGAACAGACCACCAAGGTGAGAAGATCATCAGGATGGATCAGGCAAATTGAATGATGGCTACTAACTACCATTTATTGGATTATTATATTTATCTTCTTCTTCTTTTTTTTTTTTTTCTAAACTCCACTGGATCATATTAGGGTATCAAGCTTGTAGAGCTTGAGACTTGACAACCATCATGATTGGGTGAAGTAGAATGCGTCTGCCTTTGTCATTAAGACTGGGAGCACTACTCAGTGGCAGACCGACTTAGCTCCAAAAGAAATGGCCGCCTCTGACATGAGGAACGCCATGTGCAGCCGCTTCTAACATGGAGTACAAACACTGCTCATCCTGTATCCCTGGATTAGGAACCCTTACAGAGTACTATCAGCTGGGCCAGCTGAACCCAGGTTTTTTAGTGAGCTTGTTACTGCTCCCCTTCCTCCTTTTTCACCCGGGCAAAGGCTGAGTTATTTTTATTTATGAATATTGGCGTGGTGACAACCTTTTTTTTGGTAAATTATCATTGTTGGTTGATTTCATGGCTGTATAGTCTCAGTTATTGGAACTTTGGATGTTAATAATTATATCACTAGCTCCAATTATTTCACTGGAATAATGAGACCAGTTGTTGAACAAGCAACATTTGGCCTGAACAATGAAAATCATTGTTGGAAAAGACAATTGTCTGGAATAATGAGAGCTATTTTTGGAAAAGACATTTGGCTGTAATAAGGTAGAAATGCTGTTGGACAGGACATTTTTCTGTGATAAGGCACTTATTGCCTTGTAGAACATTTGGTTGGAATAAGGAGAACTATTGTTGAATGAGGAAGAATGATTTCAATCAAGACCATTGAAGGCAATGACACTACAGCATCTGTACTTGGAGAAATGAATACATTATTGGGCATGGCACAATAATGGCCGGACCAAAAGAAATAGGATCATTGTTGGTAGAGGCACAACAATTACTGAACCAGGAAAAATAAGACATCATTGAACACAAGGTAATAAGACCAAATCCAAATAAATCAAAAGTGTGTGACATTTCGGTAACAACGCTGTTACCGAAACATCACACACTATTTATTTGGATTTGGTCTTATTACCTTGTGTTTATAATCTATAATCCAAATTGTACCTTATCAAGACATCATTGAATATAACAATGGCTAGAATAGGCGATTTTAAATTATTCTAGAAGACAACAATTAATAGACTAAAAAAAAATAGAACCAATGTTGGACAAGGTACAACAAAGGTTAGAGTAGGAGAAATGGGATCATTGTTGGATAAACTCCAACAAATGGATAGACAAGGAGAAAACTGAAATCAATATTTGATAAATTACATTTGGCTGGGCTGAAGACATTTAAACATTGTGGTACAAGGTATTAGACAATAGCTACACAGTAGAACCTCCATGAGAGGACACCTCTCTATAAAAGACAGTTTTCATTTGCAAAATTAGCATTTTTACAATTTAGCAACTCTCCGGTAAGAGGACACCTCTCCCTAAAGGACACTTTGGCTCTGTAATTAGGTGTCCTTTATAGGGAGGTTCTACTGTACTAGGAGAAATGGAATCAATCACCACTGGACCAGGAGAGACAGGAGTAGTGTTGGGTAAAAGTTGGAGATGAGGTGTAGCAGCTCACTGTTATACCAGTTCCAGGAAACCACCTAATCTGAGTTAAGTGGCAGTCTCTGGTCTAATTACCTTGGCATCAACTCCACAATCTCTAGAAATCCATTTAGCTAAAAGAAAATAAGACCTAAGCCAAATAATTTAATAGTGTGTGACGTTTCGGTAACAGCATTGTTACCATCATCAGACAGAAG